AAGATCGCCGAATTGAAGAAAAGACAAATCGATGATATTGGGTTCGTTAACACATATCTCATAGATGCAACTGAGGTTGAACATCGTCCCGGAGATACCGAGGCCAACTTGCTACGATCATTAAAAAAAAATGAAAACAAATATATAATACTCTTTCCTTACAACTTCAAGTGAGTGTTACTGTCTTGTGCATATTCGGTTTCCCTTATATATTAGTCCAGGTTATAGTAATGTAATTGATGAGTTATGCATGCGTGTCCAGTTCCCACTATATTCTCTTAGAGATTAGGCTTGAGCAGGGAGTAGTAACCGTCTTGGACTCTAAACGAAAAGATCCCCAGGAGTATGCGGACATGACTGAAATCCTCAAGAAGTAAGTTAAATCGATCATTATCCACCATATCAGCAACTTTGTTCATTTCCTGATATCAAGTAATTGTTTTCTTTGTCCGGCAGGGTTTGAAGAAAATTCACCAGAAAAGTTCCGGGACTGCCGAAGGAGCTGGAGTTTAGACACCCGAAAATAAGTACTATAGTAGCATGTTCCGCGCATCTCCTAGTGATTCAAGCGCTAGTTTCATCAATACCATTTAGCATTCTTGCTTATTAGTTTGATTGACCTCTATTTCTTGTAAAGTGGTTGTGGCAGGAACAAGGGAATGATTTCTGTGGATATTACGTCTGTGAGTCCATCCGCCACACGACCTGTGAGCGGGGCGGGTACTCTGATGAACAATATGAAGTACGTAAATAAAAACATTCACAATTTTATTTTATTACCATCATTTGTGTTGAGTTTCATTCATTCATATATATATGTATTGACCCCCTTCTTCAAATTAGATGTTTCGGAAGCGGGATGAACTCCTAGCACCAGCTCGCATGCGAGCAATTCAAAAGGAATTGGCGGCATTCTTTCTTGACCACGTGATCGCTGAAGACGGAGAATACTATGTGGACCATGAGTCCGTATGATTATATTTGTAAGAGATAATTATTGTATATATGTAGCCGGTAGTGTCGGATAGATATACGAGAACTTGTTGTTCGACCAATCTCTCGGAGAAGGAGAGGTGGTCGATATCACTTCTCTCTGTATGCATATATGTTCATGACGATCCTCTGTTTCCTTCGTTTGCTTACTAGCTAGCTAGCGTGTCTAGTCCTCTCTATACGTATGTATAGTACGTAGCGTCGACCAAGCACGGACATAAGAGAGGACACTTCTCTCTATTAATTATAGCTAGCTAACACAATATATGAAACACCTAAATTAACCCCCCAAACCCCCCCCCTTTCAAAAAAAACAAAAACCCCAGCCACAGAAATGCTGACGCGTGGATGCCTATTGGTCCCGGTTGGTGCCACCAACCGGGACCAAAGGGTCTCCTGCCTGGGCTCCGCGCACAGGCCATGTGGAGGCCCATCAGTCCCGGTTTTGGATTGAACCGGGACTAAAGGGACAGGGCATTAGTACCGACACTTTAGTCCCGGTTGAGGCCCTTACGAACCGGGACAACAAGCCCTTTTTCTACCAGTGCCACCAATGTTCTCATCATCATTGTTGCATATAGTGTCGCCATTGCTGACGTGGTTGTCTATAGGACCATCATCCAAGCTAACATGGGATAAATAGGTGTCCCCCTGCGAAGTCATTTACAACATTAATGAGAACTACCATTGAAAAAAAATAAAGGGATGTCGAGAAACATATCAGGTAGATACATTCTTAAAGAGGTTTTGGCCCGCTTTGTACTTCCTCATCGTAAATAAGTAATGCATAAATAAACAATGGGAGAGGTACTACCAAAGTGTTATAGGTACCTTAGATAGGTTTTGATTTGCATCTCACTTCTGTTTTAGATGCTGCAACTCCTGTGTCTATCCATTTTGACCACAGAACTTCGCCCATTAGGAGGCATCCACATGTTGTTTCATCATTGGTACAAGAAATCTTGTTTGACGACAATTCCATGATGCATTACCCTTTTCCAATAAAATAAACAACAAAGAATTGTGGGCATACTTCATATAAACATTCTGATAACAATCTATCCGGTAGTGTAATCAATAACTTGAAGACATAGATAACAAGCAAGGAAAAAAAATGCAACACACATCACTTCCCTCGGAGATATTATTTTCAATTTTTACTGCTAATCTATGAAGTAATCAGTGTGCTAAGTTCAGAAATAAAAACAGCCCATGTTCTTTTCAAATAAGCAAATGGCAAAAATGATGAAAAAAAGTTGATCATGTATATAAAAATGGTAATCAAGCATGTAAAAAATGCCGAACAAGTATTTTAAAAAAATCTTAATCAAGCATTTGAAAAATTAATGTGTATAGAAAAAAGGGAAGAAATGTGTAGCAAGTATTTAGATAGAAAAATGTTTCTATCATTCGATAGAAAAATGTTAATCAAGCTTTTGACAAAATGTGGAGCAAGTATTTATAAAATATTGATCAAGCATATGAAAAATGTTAAATGTATATATATAAAATGTTGACCATATAATTACAAAATAATAAAAATATATTGATCATGTCTATAAAAATGTTGATGAAACATTTGAAAAAATGTTGAGCGAGTATTTGAAACATATTGATCAAGCATTCGAAAAATGTTAAATGTGTAAAGAAAAAAGGGTTGACCATGAATTAAAAAAATTATGAAATATTTTAATCATTATATAAAAAAATGTTAATCAAGCTTTTGACAAAATGTGGAGCACGTATTTGGAATATCTTTATCAAACATTTGAAAAATGTTAAATGTATATAAAAATGAAAATATTTTGATCATGTTTATAAAAATGTTAATGAAACATTTCAAAAAACAATTGAGCGATTATTTGAAAAATATTGATCAAGCATTTGACAAATGTTAAATGTGTATAGAAAAAATATTGATCATGCAATAAAAAAAATGATGAAACTTTTGATCATGTATTTAAAAATATTAATCAAGAATTTGAAAAAAAGGTGAGCAAGCATTCAAAAATTGTTTACCATATATTAAAAATGATTAAAATGTATTTAGAAAATGTTGAACGTGTAACTGAAGAAGTGTTCAATAACATGTATTTAACAAAAATGTAGGACATGTAACTGAAAAATGAAGAAACAAAAAAATATAGAACCCAATTAAAATGAAAAAAAGAGACACAAAGAAAACTTTTAAAATATAGAAACTGAAGTATAACTAAGAAAACCAATGAAAAAAAAATCATGGGATATCAATGAAAATGTAAAAAAATCAAAGTAAACCGATGAAGAAATAGAGAAAATCTAAGAAAAAATAAAAGAAAACAAAGGGAGAAAAAAATGAAAGAAAACACTGAAGGGAAGAAAACACGATTGATCGAATGAATGGGCCTAGCCCAGTACTGTAGCAAGCAGGGAGAGCCCTTCAGTGAGAGCTTCTTTTGTCCCGCTTGATGTGAGATATAGCTCTCGTGTCTAAACCCGAGCATGAACCAAATATTTGGGATGAGCTCGTGCTTAGTTTTTTCAGCCAAAGACCAGAAAAGCCCAAACAGGGTAAGAACCAGTGTTTTATCAAAATTTATATATAACAATATTTTTGAAACCAAAAAGTAATCAACTTAACTAAAAATATTACCTTTTTTTATCAAAAGTTAAAATATTACCGTTCATGTGTTTTAGTCCAGGCCAGGCTCAGGCTTGGCATTTCCAGACCGGGCTTTGCTAAGCCCATGGTATCTGGTCCAGTTGCGTCACCTTCGCTCATTTTTTCACATACCACCTATTAAACAAAGCAGAGTGTGTGTGGCAGCACAGGCACAGCCACAGCCCAACCGCGCGAAAGGGGAAAACGGGGGAAGCAAAAACCCTCGTCCGCCCACCACCGACCACCGCCGTCGTCGGCGATCGACCTCGCGAGGTGAGGCTCCCTTCCCGCACGCCCCTACTTTGCTACGATCCGCGGAGCGTTCGCTGGGTGTTGCATTCGGGTGTCCCGTGCGGCGCGGGTGGATGAATGTACATGTACAGACCGGCCGCCCCCCTCTGCGCGAGAGGACGGCGGCGGAGGGCGCGGGTCGTTCAGTAGTGTGGTGCCGGTTCTCTCTCTCTCTCCGACGGTCATCGAGCGGACGGCAAGGCTCCGCCGTTCAGTTCCGTCCAGATCCGCGAGGGTTTACCAATTTCCGTAGCGGACGGAGCTATGTGGTTCCTTTCCTTGGCTCGAGGATTTTGTACGGCCTAGCTGGATGCTCGGAAGAAACGCACCCATTTATTGTCTCTGTACATGGGTTGCTGCATTATTAGTTCAGTTCATTGCAGTCTTGCAGATCCATGCCTTGTTGCGCTTTGGTATGGCCGCGGCCTTTCGCCGTAAAATGCATGCTTTACTTACGGATTTTAGCGCTCAGATCCGTGTGCCTACTGTTGTTGGGCTGAAATGGCTGGAATTAGTCGACGTTCTTGTGTTTGCAGTGGATGTTAGTTACTTCACCTTCACCACCTCTGTTTCTGCGGGTTGGATGTTGTTCTCATATGAACAACATAGGGTGAACTGTATGCATGCATTTGCCTTTGTATATGGCCTTCCGATTTAATCGGTTATTTTCAGCCATAGGCGCCACATTAGCTGAAACTTTTTGGTAGTTGGCACTCTGATTTGGGAGATATTTGCTTGGATACAAGCATTTGCTTACCAAGCTCTAAATTAATCCCAAATTTGTCACTTTTCTCTGGGAAATGGTCAAGTAAGACCATGCCTCTATATAGTAGTAATAAGTCGAAAATGTTGCAATCTGTCAAGTCACGAATGTAGCACAAAAACTGCAGTACGGAGGCACAACTGCCATCTTGGCACATTCTTGTCGCTGACAAAAACTGCAGTTTAGATCTATATATCTAACTTCGTCTATGTAAACTTGTAACTCGGCCTTTCTCTTAATGAAATAAAATCAGCGTTCTCGATTGTTTTTCGTCAAAAAAAAAACAATAACCATATTTAACGTGTTGACAGGATGTCGGAGCAAACACAGGAGTTCTACGACGAAGGTTTGGGATGATCTTTTGCTATTTACACCATTATATGCACTGATATGGTTTGGTTATAAGCATGTATGCATTCTTGTGCTCACACTTTGAGCTTTCACGTGTTTAATCGCCTTTCAAAATGAACGCTTGTATCAGTATTCCACAAGGCTCAGGAGCTTTCTCGTAGATGTTATCAGAGGATTCGTGATAAGAATAAAAAGCTTCGTTTGGAACTGAAGTGCAAGATGTTTGATCTTGACTTAGCATCCAAGAAGCTGGATGAACTAGCTTCAAAAAGTATCTCCCAAGAAAGGAAGTATGAGGAAGAGAAAGAACAGGTGTGTGATACTGATACCTTGCTTCTGCTATTGAATATCTCCTGGAATTATGGAAGTTTGTTTTCTTTTCTTTCTCTCTTTTTTGGGGTCTGCGTAGGATGTTTGATTGCATTTTGCTTCTTTTGCATATCAGCAGTTTTTCACCTGATATTCTGTTATCAAATAATACCGTATAGAGGGCTCATAACTTGTTTTTGCAATTTTTGTTTTGAGAAGCTTATTAATCTGAGTGTTTATCTGTACTGATAATGCAGAAGGAGAAACAAGTCGCTCTATTATTTCACATGTTAGAGCAGGAACTGAATGCCAAGCAGAAGCTTGAGTTGGAAACGAAGCAGCTGCAGAGCAAATTGGAAGCAGTGAAACCTATGCAAGGTGAAGACTCTCAATCAAAGAAGAAAATGGCTGAACAGACTGAGGAGCTGCAAGAAAAATATGACAGAGTGGAATTAATTGTCCGGACTTTGATTACCAAGGAAAGACAATCCAATGATGAGTTACAGCTTGCTCGGAAGGCACTGATACGTGTAAGTTACCTCATTGACTGAGCACCTGTCCATGAGATGGTGATGTGTTACTGTTGATGATTTTGCATAACAGCTGAAATCCATTCTCCTTCTGACCTGTTGCATGCTCTACAGGGCTTCCAGGATCTTACAACTGGCCGAACATCTATAGGCATCAAAAAGATGGGCATGCTTAACCTGGAATCACTTGAAAAAGCTTTCAACCAGAAATTGTCAGAACCTGCTGAATCAAGTTATCATGCTGCCTTATTTTGTGAAAAATGGGAGAATGAGATAAGAAATCCAAAATGGCACCCTTTTCAAGCTATCATGCTTGATGGAAAAGAAATGGTATATATCTCTTTACTGTTGCTACTACACAATTTGCTTTCTCTAATATTATGTGTTAGTGGTTTCACGGTAGACTTTCGGCTTTGCAAGCATTTCTGTAGTACATGTATTCCTTAATAAACTCTGGTGGAAACTCGAGGAGCTTAGTTTAATTTACTCCCAGATTTTCTTAATTAATATACAAAATAGAAGAGAATAACCACAATATTTTTGTCAGTGGGTACAAGATACCACAGTTTTGACATACCAAAGTATGTTGAAGTATTGAGATTACTGTGGCCTGTTTGGTTGTTGCCGGAAAACACAATATTGATGCATTCAAACACTCAGCTACCTAGCCGTTAGCAGTGCAAGCACACGCCTGCTGGCCGGAGCTGATCAACATGCTCAGCTAGCTAACATACGGGCCATGCCATCAGGAGCCCGGAGGAAGAAACAACCAGCTCATATGCCCCCCTCACTCCTTCCCGCCGGCTGAGCCTAGCTGAGCCAACGTTCCATGCACTCGCCTCTAGCCCCCACCCCGTGCTAAAAGTACCAGGTGTAGTTTGTTGTGGTATGGTTTGAACAGGGATACCTGAATCTGAATTGTCTGAATGAAAAACAGCAAAATCGCTATGGTATGACTGTTAGATTTCAGACAAATCATGTGGGGTGTGGCGGCCGACGACAACAGAGCAGCCGTCTCTTTGCTTCCCCATGGCCGCCGAGGGAGATTTCTCCAAAGACGACAGGGCGGCGGCGTGGGAATGAGGCCAGAGCAAGTAGCGAGTTGTTGAAGAGAGTGCGGAAGGATAACGACGCCAGCCCTTCTTTTCGCCTTCTCTGTTTTTTAAAAACAGGTCTGGGGTTCTTTTTATTATACAGAGAAAAAACTGTAGTTTGTCGAATACTACAATATTAAAACAACAGTTTTAGCGGCAATCAAACAACTCATTGTAAATAAAACTATAATAATCTCAAAAACTACAGTATTCTCAAAATGCTTAGAAAATACTTTGCTATCAAACAGGGCCTTTTTCATGGTATGCTCCAAATGTTCTTTACCACATGCAGATTTGAATTGTTTAATAGATTGGTTTAAGTTTATATAACACTGAAACATTCAGTTCTCTTTTAAGTACAATATAGTACTAGTTCATTTTAAGCTCTGCCACTATCTGGAAGAGTTGTTGTTACTGAACTTTCTGTAACACCTACCACTGACTTGGAACACTTGTGTAATTTCCATAACTCTCTGCAATGATAGCCATACTAATGGAGTATGCATATCTCAAGATAATCATAACACATGTGACATTGTTTTCCTCAAATGTTGTGTCCCTACTGTGGTAGGATCACATCCAAATTGCAGGCACCCGTTACATGAAAGTAACAGCAAGCTTGGCATATCCATGAAATGCAAGCTTTGAAGCTTTGAATAGTTTGTTTGGCTTGGAAAAAATGCCGTCCGTCTAACAGTACGTGCTCTGTTGTAGGAAATTCTGTGTGAGGACGACGAGAAGCTCCGGGCTCTGAAGGAAGAACACGGCGAGCAGATCTGTGACTTGGTGACAAAGGCTCTGCTCGAAGTCAACAAACACAATCCCAATGGGCGCTATCCTTTCAGCGAGCTGTGGAACTACAAGGAGGACCGGAAAGCGACCCTGGAAGAAGTCGTCGCTTACGTCCAGAACCAATGGCGAGTGGACAGGAGCAAGCTCAAGAGAAAGCGCGCCCAAGAAGATGCTGGAAGTACTCAAGTGGAGGACATCAGACGCTGAATCTGCTGGGAGTACCTAAGTGGACATGATGTTATTTTGGCCCCTTAATGGTCAGGCGGCTAGATCATTTCCAGTAAACCTATAACTGTTTAGATGCAGGAGTGGTGTGTAGCATTTGACATGAATGCGTCCTACTCCAGTTATCCTTGGCTTCGGCGGCATCCTGGGGTTTAAAGTGAACGCACATTTGCCTTTTGTTTGATTTGGGATTAGTTTCTGAATTTTTGCTGGAAACATGCATGCCTAACAAGTAATGACCGTTCTGGTTTCAAGTGGGATTAGTTTGCTGGTATTGTTGGCTCTCTGCATCTCCACTTGGAAATTATTTTCTGAAGATATGAAGACCATCCGGTGTGCTCTGCTCAGGAACATCTATCGTGTCTTTGTCTGACTGTGCAAAAAGTCCAGCGAAGGGAGCTGCTGGCCGTTGTTTGTTACTCCTTTTGTTATGAATTGATTCAACTTCTAGTTTTCCATTAACCCAAAACTTTTTTGATTGTGTCTTAAAGTCAAACTTTATTACGTACTCCCCTTGATTTATATTAATTGTACTTAATTTGCACTAAGTCAGCGACAATTAACATTGCATCAGACATCTACAACAATCTAGTTAGTTTTATTATGTTCATCATAAAAAAAAGTATTTGTCTACGACATATTTGCCGGTGCATATAGTAACATATTTTTCTATAAATTTTGGTCAAATATAGAGAAATTTGACTTATACATTCAGATTATTTGGAATGGACGGTATCGTTAATGAGTGTATATGACATCTAATTATAGGAGCTAGAACGGACAAATAAATGTGTTCTCTATATATCTTCACATTTTTATTAAATAATAACTTTTCTGATTTGTGGGCTACAGGAAAAAATTGTGGCAAAAAAAAACCCAAAAAAAGTAAGCGTTTTCTAATCCACGTATTTGTATTTTTCGTGTACACCACATACGTAAAATATATATTTGAAAGAAATTCACAAGCACATACTACACCTCCATATAAAGCATATGTGCACTATTTTCAACATTTTCTCGGGACACAAAAATGCAAAAGTTTTCATTTTTTTAAAGAAGCTAGTTCTTTTTTTTACCTCATTGTAAAGTAGCGAATCTGGCGGCTCTTACCTCATTGTAAATAAGCTAGTTCTTTTTTTCTAGCCGCCGCGCCCCTGACCCCACGGTATCAATCAACGCGCGGACCCCACCCTCCATATATGGCGGCTGTTGGTCAGTGCCACGTTGGCGTTGACGTGACGGCGGCGCCTTCTCCAGCACGCCTCACCTTCTCCTCATATGGAAAAGTCACGCTTTAGTCAACACTACCCACAGTAGTACACTGCACAACGCTAGAGCTTCGCTCCTCCGTCTCCTCCCTCCTCCCGCTCCACCACACCAAATGTTGAAAATATGAGCAAATTACTACGAGATTTAATCCGAATAAACAAAAGATAAATCATGACTATAGTAGTAAAGATTGAACTAATCATGCGAACTAGCATAGCAGATGAGCAGATCACATCTAGGGCACATACTAGAAACATGAATTCTACCACGATCTCGAACAGGAAAGATAGAATCACATACGATGCAGCGGGAGCAGCACCGCCGGCGTTGACGTTGTCGCCCATGTCGTCGAGGATGAGGTTGCCGAGGTTGGGGAAGAAGTCATTGTTCGCGAAGTCGTCGCTGCCAGCAGTCGCGCGAGTGCGCTTCCCAAAAACCTGATCGCCCCTCTCCCGTACAGGACCATGAGAGGCGGGGTTCCGGAGGCCTACTGTCCCTTCTCCCGGTGCACGCCGATAGGAGGGATGGAGAAGACTTGCTTGGCGGCGCAATGATCTGGAACGGTGGTGAGAAACCATACGATGCGGCCGCATGGCGCGGCGCGGCGTGACAAGGCGTGGCGTGGCGTGGCGAGGTGAGCGAGGAGGAGGAGGAGCGCGCGTGTAGGTCTCCTCTTCTCATGCTCATACAAGTGGTAGAAGAGCTCACCTTATAAAGAGGTGCAACTCTCTCTCAACTTCCGCCGGGAAAAGCATTAAAAAAGGCTCGAATGGTACGATCCCTCCATCACCCCAGAATGAAAGGGGTGATCTCGTAGTTCTTGGTCTGTGAAGATGCGTTGTTAGGTGCTCCATTTTCTCATTGAGGACAGACCTCAACCTGTGCTCGAGAGATAGGGCGGGACTAACCTTTAGTCTCACTCACTCCACTCACATGTGTGCATGAATGTGCCAAGAGAATTTCAGAATTTTAGTTGGCCTTTGGGCCAAAGGCCTACTAGCAAAATTCCAACAATCTCTCACAAAGTCTCATTGGCACATCTCATCATTTAGTTTCAAAACATTGTTTATATACCGGTGCTTAGTGGAGACTGTGCCTTGAACTACAACTAGATCACAACTTGAATAGTGGACTATGCCTTGAACTACAAGTTTTCTGCGAGACTAGTTTCACACAAATTCTTGACCGATACAGCGCTTCCGCAAGGCTTCCCCATGGGTGGAGCATATACGTCGTACTCCAAGGCCTTTTCATGAATTTATTAGAGAACACCCAATTCTCATAGACTGCGACGTTAACAGTCAAATTCATATAGGTGTGTTCCTCAGAAGATGTTCTGTAGGACAACATCTCTGCTTACCCGAATAAACCACTTGGAACACATTAAGATAAGTATCAACCTGTCATACAGATCAGGAGAGTATTGCATATTCACAGAGTGGGATAGTTAATATAGGGATACTCTCCTCCCAGCTGACCAACAGCTTGTCTCTCACTTCTACTTCACGGGATCTCCGATCACATAGAGTGGGTTACCACTATGGACAACTCATGCGGTGGGTCTCAGACCCATCTCCATCGATGCATTATCTATCACGTTACGTGATAGACCCTTTGTAAAGGGATCTGCCAAGTTTTTCGACGTTTGGATATAATCCAACGTAATAACTCCGGAGTTCCTCAATTTTCTGACAGATTTTAGTCTCCTCTTCACATGCCTTGAGGACTTCATATTGTCCTTAGAACTGTTTATCTTGACGATCATAGTTTGATTATCACAGTTCATCAGGATAGGGGGTATTGATTTTTCAACCATAGGTAAATTCATCAAGAGCTCACGAAGCCACTCCGCTTCAACAGTGGCAGTGTCTAATGCTGTGAGTTCTGCTTCCATAGTTGACCTCGTTAAGATGGTCTGCTTGCAAGACTTCCAGGAAACAACGCCACGACCAAGTGTAAAAACATAACCACTTGTGTCCTTAATCTCATCAGCATCAGATATCCAGTTTGAGTCACTATAACCCTCCAGTACCCTTGGATACCCGGTGTAGTGAATCCCATAGCTCGCGGTGTCTTTCAAATAGCGCATAACTCTCTCAAGCGCATGCCAATGATCATCTCCCGGTTTTGACACAAACCGACTCAGCTTGCTCACAGCAAACGAGATGTCAGGCCTCGTGGCACTCGCCAAATACATAAGCGAGCCAATAATCTGAGAATATCTCAGTTGATCTCTAGCAATTCGTCGATTATTTCGAAGCAACACACTAGCATCATATGGAGTTGGAGAAGGCGTGCAGTCACTATACCCAAAACGACTCAAGACCTTTCCACATAGTGAGACTGAAGCAGTGTGATCCCACCATTCTCATCTCTCAACAGCTTGTTGTTTAAGATAACATCAGCTACTCCTAGATCCTTCATCTCAAAATAGCGAGATAAGAAATCCTTAACCTCCTTGATTAAATCAAGTTTGGTTCCAAAGATCAATATGTCATCGACATACAGACAAAGAATAACTCCTTCGCCCCACCATGGCGATAGTACACACACTTGTCACCATCGTTTACTACAAAGCCGGTGGCAGTTAATGTTCTTTCGAACTTCTCATGCCACTACTTAGGAGCTTGTTTAAGGTCATATAAAGACTTTAATAACTTGCACACCTTTCCTTCCTGACCAGGTACTACAAAACCATCTGGCTGATCCATATAAATTTCCTCCTTTAACTCTCCATTGAGGAAAGCCGTCTTAACGTCCATTTGATGAACGAGAAGACCATGTGAGGCAGCCAATGATAGTAGCACCCGAATTGTGGTCAGTCTAGCCACTGGTGAGTAAGTATCAAAGAAGTCTTCACCTTCTTTCTGTAGGGTTTCGTAGTAATTTCAAAAAAAAATCCTACGCACACGCAAGATCATGGTGATGCATAGCAACGAGAGGGGAGAGTGTTGTCTATGTACCCATGCAGACCGACTGCGGAAGCGTTGACACAACGTAGAGGAAGTAGTCGTACGTCTTCACGATCCCACCGATCAAGCACTGAAACTACGGCACCTCCGAGTTCGAGCACACGTTCAGCTCGATGACAATCCCCGGACTTCGATCCAGCAAAGTGTCGGGGAAGAGTTCCGTCAGCACGACGACGTGGTGACGATCTTGATGTACTACAGCAGCAGGGCTTCGCCTAAACTCTGCTACAGTATTATCGAGGAATATGGTGGCTGGGGGCACCGCACATGGCTAAGGAATAGATCACGTGGATCAATTGTGTGTTTCTGGGGTGCCTCTGCCTCAGTATATAAAGGAGCCAAGGGGGAGGGGGGCGCCGGCCAGGAGGAGGGCGCAGGAGGAGTCCTACTCCTTCCGGGAGTAGGACTCCCCCCCAATCCTAGTTGGACTAGGATTCCCCGAGGGGGAAAGAGAGAGAAGGGGGCCGGCCACCTCTCCTAGTCCTAAAGGACTAGGGGAGGGGGGAGGCGCGCAGCCACCTTGGGCTGCCCCTTTCTCCGTTCCACTAAAGCCCACTAAGGCCCATATAGCTCCCGGGGGGTTCTGGTAACCTTCCCGGTACTCCGGTAAAATCCCGATTTCACCCGGAACACTTCCGATATCCAAACATAGGCTTCCAATATATCAATCTTTACGTCTCGACCATTTAGAGACTCCTCGTCATGTCCGTGATCACATCCGGGACTCCGAACAACCTTCGG